ACTACATCGAAAAAGCCATACCCAAGAATAGACAATTCCATATATTTCACACAATCCATATAACATTCAGTATATGTAATGGTATGTGGGAATGACCTTGAGAGACAGGAGGAAGAACCACAAAGTAGGCAGTCAGATGAGGCAGAGGCAGTTGAGCCCGCAGAAGAAATGGGGGTGTGGCAAATGTCTCAGAAGGGACCCTCCCTAGTTTCTTGGACTGTAAAGGTGAGGGAGGAGAGATGTACTTTCAGACTTGTGAGATTCTGTTAATGTAACCTTATAATAAAGAGTGAGCTGGTACTCCTAGGTGTGCTTCTTGTCTGGACTCCCTCGCAAGGTTGACAACAGCCCCCAAGATGGTAGGACAAACCAAACCAAAAAATCTTTAGCTCAATTCACAGTGACCTGGGAGAAAGTGACCTCTGTGCCCCATATATGATGGCAGTAGAGTGGAGCTATTGAATCTTTCTCAAAGGAATTTAATTTCCATCACAACAATGCATGGATAGCTCATGGATACTTTAGAAGGATGGACTTTTTAAAATCTTTACTCTTAGATTACATTCACTGCAAATGAGGTACAAGGGGCATCTGTCACAAAGTAAAATAGGGGTGTGATATACTATCGCTGATCACTTTTTTTATAGTCAATCAATCCAAAACTTAGCCTATTAAGCAGCATCAGGTTTCTCAGACACAAACATTTGTACCAAGAGAAGAAAAACTACAGGAGACGGAACCGATGGGATGCTGACTTAAGGTTTGGTGGATATTCCAGATCAGCCTTTCAAACCCAGTGTCCTCCAGATGTGCTGATCTAAAATTCCCATCACCTCCAGCCAGCAGGTCCATATGCCAGGTCACCAAAAGATGATCTATAGGTGTGGCCTTATTAGGCATCCCCATAAAAAGTAACATTTTACATCTGTAGTGGTATTTTTGCATTCTACTTTTCTATGAAAACAGCTAAGACAGTTCTCCACAAACAAAAGCAACCAATTTTACAGCCATTCCTATAACATGGTTATGCTCAGATAATAAATGTATTCAATTATAATCCTGAGATAATAGTTTAATAAAAATAAGATGGCTATACAGGTTCCCTGCCTTGACGGTAAAAGAACATTTCAGTAACCTGCTCAACAAGAAAGTATCTTGAAAGAAACAAGTAGAGCTTGTGATGAACAGCTGTTTTTAAAAACACATTTCCCTCTTTTATTCCAGAGATGATTACTAATATAGGCAAATGGAAGGAACATCTTGCTAGGAGACAGTATCACCTCTGGATTTATTTTAAGGCTGTTCCACCTTGCTCAGGAGGCTGTAATCTACCAGATTATCCTCAGGCCCCATAGCAGAATCAGTGGAGCTTTGTCCCACATATGAACAGATGACTTGCTCATGGGGGGCACAATAGTTAGGATGTCAGCCTTCTTTCAGAATATTTCTTAAACTGGAACAGTTATAGTCCACTTTCTTAAAGGATCACAGAACATACAATGAAAATGCAAGTCAGCAGGAGTGTGCTCAGCATTCAGAGGCCAAAATATCATCATGTACTGAATGTATCAATGAACCATTTCAATCAGAAGCTCGTAAGAGCTTTTACTTGCATTGCCTGTTTTTTTTAATTAAAGACAAACATCTAGGTGCAACTAATACTATGGCAAGTAATCAAAAGTTTAATATATGGATCCATTCCTATGAACTAAGAGCTTCATATTGCACAGCAAAAACAAAACAACATGCACACATTATCACTGCATGTACACTTCACAGAAAAACTGCAGGAAGCCAATTTATATAATGCACATTTCTGGACTTATTCCAAACACACGATTGGGGTCACACATAAATCTGCAAAGTTCAAAATGGCCCAGATTGTAAGAAAATCCATTCAAATGTAAAAGAAAATGAAAAATGTGCTTCATCCTTGATTGCCCTAAAATTAAAGGGGTAATATTCTTATACGACTAATCTCTGCACATTTCAACTATTTCTATGTTTCCATCCCCTCTCCTTAAGTTAGATGAGCACATATGAAAAATGACATTAGATCCTCTCTCCCTTTTTAGAAGCAAGATTATCTGTCTAGGAGAATCCCTCCAATAATTGCCAAGAAAGTTTAAACTCTTGCATTTACTGCTCCCTTTCTCTAAAATTTTTTCACAATCAAACTATCTCACAACTTGCCTTGTTATTCTTTGTCATACTTGCTGGCAATAACATAAAAATGAAGCTTTTCTCACACACATGCCTCCTCACCTAATTTTCAAGAAGACGCTTGGACTTATTTCCAAGAATTACTATTTCCTGTTTTATTTTGATAGGTTAAAAAGGCAAACAAGGTTTGAAGACAGGACATTCATACAGCTGGAATGCAACAGTCAAGAGGTGGGGTCCAAGATTTCTCTTTTCCTTGTGCCTGTCTATATAGGACCATGAGATTCTGATAAGACAGCTTAAGAATTGATGGAAAAAACCAGTACTAAACAGTCCTTCCCAAGCTGGTACCTTCCCAAGGTCTTACACTACAATTCCCACCATCTCCAACCAATCCTGTGCAGACTCAATTAAATCAACAGAGTTGGGAGCCAGTTTTTCAACCTAAACAAGTTGTGGGTTTTTTTTAAATCACACCCTTGGCAAACAGAAAAATATTACAGCCTTGAAAATAAACTGATGGGGAAAGCAGCAATCTGCAGATCTATACACATTGGGTAAATCATCAAAGCTACAAAGGCAAGTCCAGAGAGAAACAAGAGGGCAATCTTCTATACAGCCAGGCAGGCAGCCTCACCTGGACATTGTCCTGCAAGTGGGTTACAAAGAGTTTACCCCAGACATACACCTGCCTCTTTTCCTAGAGCATTCACTGCATTTCACCAGCAGGTCTAGACTGGCCTTTCTTAAACTGGAGCCTTTCAAATATTCTGGACTGCAAGATTAGACACGGTGCTGGCTGAGGATGATGGAAATTATATTCTGATACACCTGGATGATAACTTTGCTGAAAAGAAAGTTCTCTAGAGCAGTTCCCCCCCCCCCCAAACTTAGCAACTTTAAGATGTGTGGATGTCAACTCCCAGAATTCCTCAGCCAGCATGCTGGCTGGGGAATTCTGGGAACTGAAGTCCACACACCTTAAAAGTTGCTGAGGTTGAGAAACACCACCTTCCAAGCGCCGTGCTTCTGTCAAGAGGTACAGCTGAGAAAGATAAAAAGGAACACGATAGCGCGGCAGCTTTTCCCTCCACAAGGAAAGGGCGAGAGAAGACCGCGGCCCAGGCCAACAGCACCCCTTCTTCCTCCTCCTTACCCTCCTCCAATTCCTGGGATATGAGATCCTCGCTACCGCCCAGGTCAGCGTTCCCGCTGACTTCATCGTAAGCGGCGGGGCTGATCCAGAATTCCATCCCGGGCGAGCCCAGAAAAGTCTCCGCCTCGGTGGGCAACATTAACCCCGCGGGACGAGCGATCCGGTCCCTTCGCCCGTTCACCTTGCGAGAGGAGGAACAGGCGAAGCCGAGCAGACGCCTATCAGCTGCGTCAGAAAGCCGCGTGTCTCGCTCGGCTCAGAAACCCTCGCTCTCCTCCGGCGCGCTAATTTGCATTGCAGCCTCCGCTCGCACCACCAGCGCCCTACATACATTTATAGAATCTGCGGTCCACCTGTTTGGGAAGAATCCACCTTCCCGGGCAAAACGGAGGAATGGGGGGAAAAAATAGCTGAATAGCTTGACCCCGCAATATTGGGGTAAGAAAGAGAGGGAAGTGATGAAGGTGAAAGGTTTTTATAGGAGAGCCGAAGGCTAGGATTCGATAGTAGAGCTGAAATGTAAACAGCAAAGGTGTCGTGGGTGAGGGGGTAAAGCTAGCCTCCCCCTATTGTTATGCAGCTCAGTGGTCCATCCCAGCTCCCGCATTCTGCAGTATTTTTGAATGGGAGGGTGGCTGG